GAAGTCCATGTTTGTTAGGGTTCCCTGTTTTTTTCTGAGTTTATTAACATCCATTGGTCCATTTACTCAATATTTGAGTGTACAAAATATTACTAAGTAGGTAGAATAGAAAGATGTATCCATACCATTTTAGCGTTATCACTCAAATATTCTGAATGTTATCTCGTTAAAGTAGAAAGACACTTAAGTTAACGAACAAGTCGGTTTGGTTTATTAACTATATTTCTAACTTGAGACTGATATTTACGAAAAATGTCAACTGGTCTACTTAAGGTGTTTTTAATTATTTGAAGACATACTGGCACCTACAGGCATCAAAATAAATATATTCCACACAAATCATGGAACAATATTTCAAAGAAGGAGTATGATAAAGACAAATAATTAGTAAAAAATAAGTGGATGAAAAATATATTGGGAGAGACACCTTTAGCCACTATCTCTCGAACTTCAATCAGTGAGTTGTGATTGGGCGATAGATCCCAATCCTAAATAGCTTTCTTTCATACCACGACGCAATCCTGTAAACTGATCACTCCATCACTTTTTCTATCTCACCTACGCGTCCTCAAGTGAGGCATGATATGAAAGCCTCTGGTGTGATGTTCGTACCACGTCCAGGCCACCGAAGCTAGTGTTTCAAGATTATGAATCTATTTGAACTATTGGGATTATATTCAAACACACACTACCCAGCCTAAGTATAACGAAAATGGTAACTTAACTGAATATCAGTGATCCTTCAGAGAGAAAGATGATCAAACAGGGCCTCAAAATACCTTGAGAAGCCAGATTTTACTGGCGAAAAGTTGAAGTGGTCTCACCAGACTAACATCTATACGGCCCCAAAAGTGGCGCAAATCGGCCGAAGGCACTGATTTTATTTATGTAGGCAAATATCATTAAATGCCCCAGACTTACCCAAATACACGGACCTTTTTACATTTTCTAACAGTTGACTGCTGAGAGTCAATTTCAGTACAGGTTCCTTCCAGTCTAGTGAAAGTATCATGTATTTAGATACTTGCCGTATCTACGCACACTCCCAACTGATTAAGTGCGGATTTCATACATTCAGTATAATCTTACAGTAAGAAAATAACATCCTCATACTTACGATCGAAGTCTTTCTTCACGCAACAAATCCACACAACCACCTACCTTTATTAGGGCTGTTGAAAAGAAATGGAGGACTCGAGGAACTCTTCCTAACCCCTCTGCTTGAACGAAACAATAGTGAGAGGCGTTTGTGTACAGAGCCTCCAAGATATTACTAGGCTTCTAAGAAACACTATCAAAACAATCTTGGAGCGACCCTGATGTTAAGAAAATACAATGGTTGTTTGGTTGAAATAAGTTTGCAGATTTTTCATCAAACTCACGGTTAGCTGGAGTGGACTTCGGCGCCTTAAATAGTTGTAGGGAGCCAGTAGAAGCCCAGTGCATATAAGAGGGACGTTCGGTGACGCCAAAAAACGACGGACTTACTACTAGCCTAACTCCGTCTGATATTTGGTTGCGACCGGAGCTACAGTCGACTCGCTTATATCAATCAGTTTATGATGATGAGTTTTCTGAGCACTTAAACGAAAGATAGCGGTAGCGCTAACCAAACCATGACCAGAGTCCAGATAGGTACGCCAGAATGAACGGTAGTCTTGTACATAATCATGCCAGGGAGTACAACGTCTATGACTTCCGAAATTTGGTGCCAACCAGTGACAGGTTTTTGTCTGTGCAAAGCTGCTGGAGACGGTCACCATTAATTGACCGGAGATCTGCAAGCCTCTCTCGACCACCGAAGAGACTCTGCTCTGTACCTAGACATTCGATCTGTGGGTTTGAACTTCTGACTAGCACTAAAATGTGTCGAGTGCGCTTTTTTGAGATCATGTAACTGGTTGTAAGATTCATCTATTGTATGCTGACTGGGGTAGGCGGAGATAACGACGAAGCATTGTTCTTTACTTCGACTTCTCACCAATGTGCTATAGCTTTTTTATCTAATACTTCATCCTAAGGCAGCATACCCAGTATTTTGTAATTAATAAAACTACCTTCATTTTCACTTCACTATTTCATTTAATTTAAATTTTTCAACGGTATATTAAAAGTACTCAAATTTGAGTATATCTTACCCCATTAATTCTTTTTTTAATAATTATTTAGTCTGCCACTAATTCTTCACTATTTGAAATTTTCACTTAAACAGTCAGGAGTACCGTTACACAGTTCTAGGTCTCTTAACAGTCGTAAAGAGAATTTTATTGCGCAGTCGATCTACAGTTTAATATCCCATTTCCTTCCAATTTTCAACTACTTTTACGCTATATCAAAAGTATTACGTGATAATCTCCTTATTTACGGCTATACACATAGTAGCAGGTTGGGATAACATTTGGAGTTTCTCATAATGGTCAGTGTTTGCGCATTTGGAATTGAAGTGTTCTGCAAACTGATCATTAATCTTCCCACTTGAAGATTCCCTGCTGAATTGAAACTAAGTTGCTAACTTACAAACAATTAATCTGATGCCCTGGTAAGATTATAATCGTCATCTAACTCGGTAAACCAAATAATAATAATATATGTAAAACGGTTTTTGTGTACAATTAAAAATGAACAGTTTACTTGAAATAACTTAATAAATTCTGGGAAACAGGTGACGAAGTTTACATCCAGATGCTTATCGTCGACTAAAGATATCTAGAACCTCGAAGATCAAATACATAAAAATGTTTATAAGTAAATGACTGGTGCAAATCATATTATGAACAAACATCCCAGAATAATGTCGGAAAAGTGACCTTCAAATGTGTACTAGCTAAGGAATGACGGCGTAAAACTTTTACTAAGATATGAGTATTTTGTCAAGATATTACTCGTAGATTGACGTGCCTTACAAAGTGCAAATGAGACATTCACCTCACGGTTATTCTGACAAATCAGTGAAATCCCTTAAGGTAAGAGCAAAATATAGAAAGCGTTTTTATTAGTAATGGTTATTAATGGGACAAAACACCGCTATCCAGAAAATTGCCTATTTCTATTGACAGACGATGAACATAACTCTGGCAGTTTCATTACAACTTGCAGTTCGTTATTAGACTGTAGCAGAACAGTAGAAATACAAAGCACCTTCTTGACAACAATGCATTACATAGGCCCTCGTTCCCAGCTGTTACTAGGAGCTATTCATTCATTTGGTGTCAATCTCTTTGTCTCGGTAAGACAGCTATTTTGGTCTTCTCTGCTACTGAACTTCAAGATCCCGAGTTCGTCTCACGATGCAGTTAGTCGATATCGTTAGTGTAAGCCATAGACCTCCAGCGTTTTTCCCTAATTTCTTCAGATGAAAGCTGGTTTGTTCTGTGCCATAGTGGTATCTTGCCGGCGGACACTCGGTGCTTTACGTTGACAAATGTTCAGTCAGCTGTACCTTGTCTGAGGGCGGTTGTAGTAGTTATCCAAGTTGTAGCTCTGTACGACGGAACTGTTTCGTAGTTACTGACAATTCGGACCTTGATGTTCTGTCGTGCATCATACGTTCTCAATTGGTAGGAATGCTGCCATCGCCTTCACATCATTCTTGATTGTTATGGACACTGAGACCGTATTTATCACTTGCTCAGGTTTTAGTCAGTCGACCCACAACTGCTTTCTGCATCATTACGGGTCAGGTCGAGTAATTCCGACCACGCCCCTTATGGGTAGCATATCCATATACCTTGTTACGACCAACCTGTTGACAACTCTTGTCAGTTGGACCCAGTAATACATCCAACAGCACTACTTCGTAGATGTGATAAGACCAGGTGTATCCACCCAATATTTATCAGCGCTTCGAACGTGAGCCATGAAACCTTCAACGTAAGTGCATCAGCACCAACTGCTCTTCTAGAACTAGATAGAATATGAACCAAACACTTCGATCTTAAATAAAGGTTAACACCAATGGCGACCGATCTGGGAGATTACCAGGGCCGTTCGAGTTTTAGAAGTGCGAAAATATTGAGCTGAGGAACTGATAACCTCTATGGTACGACCGATACTACTCGAATATTTTTCACTTTTGAAAGGCGGATGATACTTTGCACTATTGCATCTTGCAAACACGACGTCCACCAGTTTGGGGACCGAGTAATTCGTATGTCGACACATTTTTAGGGACGATGGCAGTACTTGCGATACCTGAGAATGAGGACACCCCACCAGTCAGTAACAACGTAGAACTTCGTACGTACGTACATCAGTTCGAGTTGCCACACCACATTAGCACAGAGATGCAGTTGTCGAATCAAATTCCGTAGTGGTAGAGGTAATAAGAGTATAAGCAGTAATCGGGAAGATTAGTGTTTGGAGATGTTATTTAAAGAGTATAATACAATGAAATAAATTTGAAAAGATGAAAAAGAGACAAGATCAAGATTTGGGAGAACACAAAGGGTGGATGCACCTGCGCCATTGCAAACGATTTTGAGCCATATCATTCAGGGTCTCTAACCATCGGTTGCTATCATCTCGCGGTCCCCAACCAGGTAGTCTACACTTACCAACATGACTCAGTCCACTTGTCAGCGACTTCATGGACTGGTGCCATGTTTTGGTCTGGCCGCCCCTAGCTTTCTTCCAATCTACTCCTATACCACTGAACATCGCACGTCGAGGCAGTCGGTAGTTGGGCATACGTAACACGTGTCCAAGCCATCTCAACTGAAGTTTCACTGCGTTATCAATTGATTTGCCACTCTCACCTAGTACCCGTTTCCTAACAACTGCATTACTTACTCGATGGTCCCATGATATACGAGCAATATTTCGAAGGCACCTATGATCGAATACTAGTGGGGTAGGACACCCCACATAAGCAGAAAGAGAAACATCGTTAACCAGGGACTATTGTCGATAGCAAGACGATGACTGAGTTCTGTGTTTGTACCGACAAAACTCCCAAGCAAATCTACCCACCCGGTCATAGACATATGAAAGCAATTGTTATTCTACCAAGAACCTTTATTTACTTAATTATTTGAAACTCAAACAAAACACCATTGGTCAGCTTCCTGAAAAATAACAACAGCCATTAGCGAGCGAATGAGGGCAACACTGACCACATACAGAATATGGGATGGGTGGCGAGTAGATCCAACACACTCCTCAAAGCAATCATTTGGATGCTACAAAGCCACAGGGAACTTTCAAAGCGACACGGATGGTAAACAGTCATTAACATCATGAACATATAAGCTAACTGTACATTTGGGATATAATACAAGGGAAGTGGGAGTTCTGGTTAGGGTTAATTATAATAACAAAAAAATAAACATTTGAAAAAACAAGCCCCAACTGAAAAGGACAGATGGGAAAAATTAAACTATACAGCATATCACGAGTGGGAATGGATTCATTGAAGCTGCGAAGAAAATAATAGGGATAACCTAAACTCAAAAAATTAGGGATTCTAAAGTGGCGAGCATCTTAGGTAAATGCCCAGAAGTCACCGGGAAGTCATATATACTAATGATTGTTTACAACCTCTTCTTTGTTGCCTGAAGGCAACCCACGACCATTAAACAATGCCTCTCTTGTCATTGGATCCAAATTATTTTCATTTTGGTATTCCGCAACATATAACCGCTTGTCGATTTCTTTAGGAATTGGTTTGATTTCAGTAACCAGTTCTGTTTCCACTGTTTTTAATGAATATCTGAGAGTAAGTTAAGTATGAGCAAAGGACCTACCTATCTGCATATGTAACCAAGTTTATAGCAATACCCAAATGACCAAAACGACCAGATCTACCAATACGATGCAAATATGTTTCAGAATATTTTGGGAAGTCAAAATTTATAACAACATTCACAGTCGGAATGTCAATCCCACGAGTCAAAAGGTCTGTACAAACAAGGTTGCGGCAGCAACCATTCCGAAAATCATGAAAGACTCTGTTACGGTCCTGCTGAGACATCCTTGCATGTATATAATAACAGGAATATCCCAACTGGGTGATTTTTTTGGCAAGAAGTTCGACTCGTTGTGCTGAACTACAGAAAATTATGGACTGGCTGATCTGCAGTTTTGAAAACAACGTATTCAAGCAGTGTACCTAAGTGAGTTAATGAAGGATATTCATAACGACTTACCTTATGCTTTTCTTGGACATATGCATAATATTCAGTAATTCCTTTTAGCGTTAATGTTTCCATTAAATTTATTTGATAGGGATTGCGCAAATGCTGAGTCATAAATGACTGGACTGTAACGGGGTACGTTGCTGAATAAACAAGAACTTGACGACTTTTATCCACACCATTGAGAATCTCTTCAACCCCACTTATGAGCTCTTCGGACAGTAGTTTGTCTGCTTCATCCAGAACAACAATTTTACACCTGGATATGTCAATGAGTCCCCTGCTTAGTAAATCTACCAAACGACCGGGCGTGCCTATTAAAACATGGACGGTTTGACTTAGTCTTATTAAATCATCTTTTAGCAGTGTGCCACCGATTACCAGCATGATTTTAATAGCCGTATGCTTGGCAAGTTCTATGCAGATTTGGCTGGTCTGAAGTGCAAGTTCTCGAGTGGGTACCAAAATAATAGCCTGAATTTTGTTGATTGTAGTATCGATCGATTCTAGGACAGGGACTGAATAAGCTCCAGTTTTGCCAGTGCCATTTTTGGCTCTTGCCATTATATCTCTGTGCGTTAGAGCTATTGGTATACTGGATTCTTGGATCGGGGATGGGGACTCCCAACCTTTCTCATATATTCCCTTCAGGATATCTCTCTTTAGACAAAAGTCTTCAAAGCTGCTTCCTTTCAAAGCAGTTACATCAGCCGTTTTAATACGCATGTCCTTCTCCGGAAGCTTAAGAGTTGACTTCCAGTCATCGTTTGCAGTACTGTCACTGCCTTTCAATGCCAATGCAGACATCAGTAATGGTAAAAAGTCTCTACATAACATGACATAAATTACGCTATGATAATCAAGAACGTACTTGCAGCCTGACAAATAATCCCGAAGACTAGATTTTCCAATAGCAGAACGGCGCCGGATGTACAGATACAAGTCCGAATTCATCCAAACACACTCAAAGTTACAGTTTCAATCTATACCGATTGGTAATGAAAGCTCACTGATGTTATTAATTAGACCAGATGTATCTGTATAAATGAACAAAAACTAAATTTTATAAAGTCAGATTTCAGATTCACATTTCAGACTTGTGTAGTAAGGACAGAAGGCCTACGGCCTATGTTTTTCCTTTTCTAGTATGCTTCTGTGAGTGTCCAGTCTTCTCTTGAAAGCGTCAGTTGAAGGTGCGGACACCACTGCTTCAGGCAGCAGGTTCCAAGTATTGATGACGCGGTGTGAAAACCTGTATGCCACTGGTATTTTGTTCGTTCTTGTCTTTTCTACTCGCCTGCTATGTCCTCTAAGGTGTCCCGATCTAGTTGGAAGAAAGAGAGAGAATAAGTTGGGTCCGAAATCATTTCTCAGTATTCTATACATCAAAATTAGATCTCCACTTAGTCTGCGATAGGGCAGAGTAAAGACATCCAGTTTTTCAAGCCGCTCTTTGTATGATAAACCACGGAGTTCCGCAATTGCACGGGTAGCTGCCCTCTGTACTTTTTCTAGTATGTCCGAGTCACCCTTTAAACAGGGGCTTGCAGCCTGAACACAGTTGCCTAGCTTAGTTCTTACTAAGGATGTGTATACTGTGGTGAACATGGTAGTATCAAACTTAGTGAATGTCCTTTTTAAAGCCCAGAGGGTTCGAAACCCCTTGGCTGCGACCTCCCGGCAATGGGCCGTCTTAAGATCATTACTCACTGTCACACCTAGATCCTTATGAGACCGGACTACGGGTAATGACACATCCCCTATGTTGTACTTATTAACCTTTGAATCCCCCAAGTGCATGTAGACACACTTTTCCGCGTTGATAGGCATCAGCCACTCTTTAGACCAGTTCATCATATTATTTAAGTCTGCCTGAAGAGTAAATGCGTCTTTGTCTCCAGTTACTTACTTTACTTACTTACTTACTTACGCCTGTTACTCCCAAAGGAGCATAGGCCGCTGACCAGCATTCTCCAACCCACTCTGTCCTGGGCCTTCTTTTCTAGTTCCATCCAATTCTTGTTCATTTTTCTCATGTCTATCTCCATTTCTCGGCGTAATGTGTTCTTTGGTCTTCCTCTCTTCCTTTGACCTTCAGGATTCCATGTGAGGGCTTGTCTTGTGACGCAGTTGGGTGCTTTCCTCAATGTGTGTCCTATCCACTTCCAGCGCTTCTTCCTGATTTCTTCCTCCGCTGGGATCTGGTTTGTTCTCTCCCACAGTACGTTGTTGCTAATAGTGTCCGGCCAATGGATCTGAAGTATTTTGCGTAGACAATTGTTGATAAACACCTGTATTTTCTGGATGATGGCTTCTGTAGTTCTCCAGGTTTCTGCCCCATACAGTAGAACTGTCTTGACATTTGTATTGAAAATCCTGACCTTGGTGTTGGTTGACAGTTGCTTTGAGTTCCAGATGTTCCTCAGTTGTAAATATGCTGCTCTTGCTTTGCCGATCCGCGCCCTCACATCTGCATCAGATCCACTGTGTTCATCAATGATGCTGCCCAAATACGTTAAGGTTTTTACATCTTCCAAATCTTCTCCGTCAATTGTGATTGGATTGGTGCATTCTGTGTTGTATCGGAGAATCCTGCTTTTCCCTTTGTGTATATTGAGACCTATTGCTGCTGAGGCTGCTGCCACACTGTTCGTCTTCTCCTGCATCTGTTGTTGCGTTTGGGATAGAAGGGCCAGATCGTCTGCGAAGTCTAGATCATCCAACTGCATCTTAGATGTCCATTGTATCCCGCGCTTTCCTTCAGACGTTGACGTCTTCATGATCCAGTCGATCACCAGGAGAAAGGGTGAGAGTAAGCAACCTTGCCTAACACCGGTCTTCACTTTGAACGACTTTGTCAACTGTCCTCCATGCACGATTTTGCAGTGTAATCCATCATATGAGTTCTGTATGATATTGACTATCTTCTGAGGCACGCCGTAGTGTCGAAGAAGTTTCCATAGTGTTGTTCTGTCCACGCTATCAAATGCCTTTTCGTAGTCAATGAAGTTGATGTAGAGTGATGAATTCCATTCAATTGATTGTTCCACAATGATCCGTAGAGTTGCGATTTGGTCTGTACACGATCTATCCTTACGGAATCCTGCCTGTTGGTCTCGATGTTGGGCGTCTACGCAGTCCTTCATCCTGTTTAACAATACTCTGTTGAAGACTTTTCCCGGTATTGAGAGAAGAGTGATGCCCCTGTAGTTATCACACTTGCTGAGATCGCCTTTCTTCGGTATTTTGATCAGTAGTCCTTCTTTCCAGTCTGTTGGTACTTGTTCCCCATCCCAAATCTTATTGAAGAGAATGTGGAGTATCCTTGCAGTTGCCGCTACGTCTGCTTTTAGTGCCTCCGCTGGGATGTTGTCCGGTCCTGCTGCTTTGCCACTCTTGATTTGTCTGATGGCCATGCTGATTTCTTCAATTGTTGGTGGGCCAACATTGATTGGGAGGTCCGTGGGTGCTGCTTCGATGTTGGGTGGGTTCAGTGGAGCTGGTCGATTCAACAGTTCTTTGAAGTGTTCTATCCACCTGTTTTGTTGCTCTTCAATGTTGGTGATTACCTCGCCTTCCTTGCTTTTCACGGGTCTTTCTGGTTTGCGGCGATTTCCAGAGAGTTTCTTTGTCGTGTCATACAGTTCTCTCATGTTTCCTTCTCTTGCAGCCTTTTCCGCCGTCGTTGCTAAATCTTCCACATAGTTACGTTTGTCGGTTCTGATACTCCTCTTCACTTGTTTGTTTATTTCCGTGTATTCAGCTTGTGCCTTGGCTTTTTCTGCTCTTGTTCGACTGGTATTGATTGCTGCCTTCTTGTTCCTTCTTTCTTGAATCTTATCCAGTGTACCAACAGTGATCCATTCCTTGTGGTGGTGCTTCTTGTGACCCAGGACCTCATGACATGTTGAAGTGATTGCCTCTTTGATCCCCTTCCAGTTGCTCTCCACAGTAGTTCCTTTTCCATTGAGTAGATCATGAAAGGCCTGGAACTTGTTGCTGAGGACTATCTTGAATTCGTTGAGTTTATTAGTATCCTGGAGAAAGGCCCTATTGAACTTTTGTGATACTGTCTGCCCCGTTGTCCAGTGCTTCTTGAGTTTCAATTTCATCTTGGCGACCAGTAAGTGATGATCTGATGCTATATCAGCTCCTCTCTTGGTTCTCACGTCCTCTATAGTCCTCCTGAACGTTTTGTTGATGCAAATATGGTCGATTTGGTTTTGTGTAGAGTGATCCGGTGAAGTCCATGTGGTTTTGTGTATGCGTTTATGTGGGAATATGGTGCCGCCTATGACCAGCTTATTGAAGGCACATAGATTTGCAAATCTCTCACCATTTTCGTTTCGTTCTCCCAGTCCGTGTCGTCCCATGATGTCTTCATATCCAGTGTTGTCCGTTCCAACCTTGGCGTTGAAATCTCCCATCAGAATGGTCAGGTCCTTTGTTGGGCACTTCTCGACTATTGACTGCAGCCTATTGTAGAATTGATCTTTCGCGTCTTCATTGTAGTCGTTGGTAGGTGCATAGCATTGGATGATGTTCATTGAAATGCCCTCTTTCTTTGTTTTAAACGAGGCTTTGATGATCCTTGGTCCATGAGATTCCCATCCTATAAGTGCATTTTGTGCTTGTTTGGACAGCATCAATGCAACTCCTTGTGTATGTGGTGCATTTTCTTCTTCATAACCGGAGTATAACAGGAGCTCTCCTGTAGTTAGTCGTTGTTGTCCAACTCTTGTCCAATGTGTTTCACTGATCCCAAGTACCTCTAGGTTGTATCTTCTCATTTCTGCAGCAATCTGGAAGGCTCTTCCGGTGTCCCACATTGTACGAACATTCCATGTACCTAAATAAATGGTTGCTCTGGTTGTCAGAAGGGGCATCGGCCTCATAACGTCCGAAGGGATTCGGCTTTCATCATGAGGCGTCATAATTCTTCTAAATGAAGATCTTCTGACTCCCAGGGCAGAGTTTAAAAGGTTTGAATAATTTTTTCTGGTTAGCGTTTTTTTAGCGAGTTAGTTTTCTACGGGATGGGGACGCTAACCCCATGCCCAACCCTCCTCCTTTATCCGGGCTTGGGACCGGCAGTAGCCCCCGGAGGGACTCCAGGCGGAGTTTTGTCTCCAGTTATTACTCGTCAAATGTTTACATCGTCCGCGGATAACAACATTGATGACTGTACTATACTTGTAAGATCATTAACGTACACTATAAAAAGTAAAGGACCTAGGACGGAACCTTGGGGTACTCCACTAAGTACTGGTCTCCAGATGGAGCACTTGGAATTTATTTTTACTTTTTGTCTACGACCTACTAGGAAATCTTTAATCCATTTTAAAAGAGGTCCGGCAATACCATGGTTTTCCAACTTCAATAGCAGTTTATTAGTTGGCACCTTGTCAAAAGCCTTGCTGAAATCTATGTAGACAACATCCACTGAGTTTCCTTTGTCTAGCGCATTAATCCAGAACTCCCTTGCTATAAGGAGGTTCGTTGTACAGGAAAGACCCTTTCTAAAACCAGGCTGTGCCATGTTCAGCAAGTTATTGATTTCCATAAATGCCGTTATGGTCCGTTCGATTATTCTTTCCAATATTTTAATTACCACACTGGTGAGGCTTACGGGTCTGTAATTCGATGGAACTAGTCGTGGACCTGTTTTATGTATAGGAGTGACGATTGCGTCCTTGATCAAGTGACATATCGAATATCACAGTCAGTGGAGCCGTGATATATTGGGCAATATGTCTCGAGATTTGGGGGTGTAGTTCATCTGGTCCTGATGACTTCTCCATGTTTAGGGTGCTAAGAGCCTTAAGCACATCGTTTTGATCGAAGTCCACGGTAAGCAGCTGGTTTGTTGACTCTATATTTAGGTCTGGTTCTTTCTCTAGAGGAGGTTTCTGAGTAAAAACTGCCCCAAAATAGTCAGCCATAGCCTCTTCTTTTTCTTGATCTTGCTCTATCATTTCAGATTCACTTCCTACTTTAATTAGGTTGGGG